CAGTGTGAAGATCTTCAAACTGGAGATAGATGCAATCAAAGTAATTCAAACACAGCACAGTCCTTATTTCTACCCAAATCAGCACTGCCTCCAAAAACGTGAAGATTTCTACTTTCTAGAGAATTATACTTTATAATTTATAGAAGATGATGAAAGTTAACAGGTATATCTCATTGAAATATTCAGGATTATGGAATAAAAATAAAGAGATTAATTCCTATTTCTGAAAATAATTGAAGATTGGATCATTCCTTGCCCTGATATTCATAGATATAAAAACTAAATATTAATTCTGGGGACTTTGCAATTCAGTGCTTCTTTTTCATTTGCTTCTACCACATTGCCCCTATTGAAAAATGTTTCAAGCATCTTTCTGTCTTTAAGGAAACAACTGTTGGAATATATCCCAAGATACATTCTAAGGCCTTCCTATTTTCCTGCAGAATGCTGGGCACTTTGTCTCCAGAGGAAGAATGGCAAAGCTGAGGTACCCAATTCAGTATGACTAAGCCTGTGTTCTTTTATTGCTGGATTTTACTCCCCCCAAAATGCTTTTATGTGTCATGTGGAGAAATTCAAGTATCTCATTCCTCTTGGTGATTACTTTCTGGACTTCTTGTTGAATAACATATTGGCTATAAATTAATTGTCCCTCACCAGAAAGGTGATCTTTTAAAACAAGAATTTTCCTTGAAGTTATTGAAATAATTATAGGAAATAGTTAAAAGTATTAATAACATTCCAGAGGAGTTTACATCATGTGCTCTACAATACAAATGGTCACTCCAAAGGCCAAAAGATAGAGTACTAAAATTCCAATGACGTTCTGGTACTGAACTAAATCCTCTGAGAAACCAGGGGACCAGCTTATTCCATAACCCACAAAATTTATCACACTCCAGGGCATAAAGTAAGGCAAAGAGCTTTATTTTCTGTGTTATGTATTTCAGTAAACATGCCAGTGTCCCTAAAAGAATATTAGTTTTAAAGGCCCTAAAGACTAAGTTCTCTAAGACTTTCACATTTCAAGATGTGAAATTATGCCCAGGCATAATAGAATCTACATTTTTTTTTTCACAGAATTTAAAATCTATAACCTCACCAGTTTTCCAGATGTACATTAATAGTATTTATAACATTTATAAAGTGGACATGTAGATGTTACAATACTAAAGTCTCTTATTTCCTTTTTTTTAAAATTCATTAGGAAGAGGGAAGCACTTAAAAAGTAAGAAAGGGGTCTCCTCTTGAAAGAAATTTGCTTAAAATGAGCCTTGGAATTCTATTTATTTTAAGATTCTTCCACCCCTGCTTAAACGTCAATTCAGAAACTTAGCTGTAAGTTGTTAAATTGTTAAATACCAACCCTGATTTTTCTAAAGCCTCTGCTGTCATTGTGCAGCTTAACTCAATTTGAATCTTGTCCAGTATGATCCTGGATAAATAAGGAGAAAGCTGTCTGAGAAAAAAGTGACCAAGCATCTCAGCTTTTCTCAGCTCTATTGGGTAAGGGAAGAGAACAGCCATAAGACTTCTCTTGCCATTCAGAATTGAGGTGGGACCACCTGGGGTTTCCAGTTTTAGAATACAACTCTTTGGGCAATTAACAAATCTCTGAGCATCGGTCTCCCATGATATTTAGGTAAATTAATAATATGAAATATTTCTAAAATAAAAAGTGGGTTACAAGATATGCCAATATACCACCAGCATAATTTGCTCAGTTACCTTTTCCCCAAAGGAGTCTCATCAAGGTACAGTCCTACAGCACTAAATGCTTATGAGCTCAAAGCCCTGGAATATCTATTTCCCACAGATTCAAGACAATGAAACTTCATTATCATGCCCCCTTATTTAACTCCAATGCCCAGGACAACGATTTGTTTTAATGTTCTAGTCTAAACCTCCTGCAGCAGTATTTTTCCAGGTAATAGCTCCTATTCATAATGATAACAGCTCTTAAATTCTCCAATTTGGCAGTTAGGATCCTCTCTTTTCTTGGATTTCTTAAACTTTACTCCTTGCAATATGCAGTCCAAACTAAATTAAATAGAAACGCGCAAATGTTACATGTGGCCTTTGGGACGATTAGACAATTCTAAAATCAACAGGGGCTCTGCTCTAAAGGTACATATATTTCTTCTGAGTTTTCCATAAACAAGAATGAAAGAACCTTGTTAAAGTTTCCAAATTTTAAGTAAAACTCTTCTTATCTATGTTTGATAAGATTTTCAGCTCCTAGAAGAGAAAGTTATTTATTCATCATTTTAAGACCTTAAGCTTCTTCACTAGGTTCCTTTACAACCTGAAATATATGAAAGAAAAGGCCCAAAATCCGTTCCTGGAATAGATCAGATAACTTCATGTGTGTTTAATTTGTGCAATGTGAGCAATGTACTGAACTAGAATGAGGCTGAAAGTTAGTATATCCTGGATTTGATTCTCAAAGCACTACTTACTAACTGTTTATCCTAGGGAAATTTTTTCTCACCTGAAAAATGGGATAATATTACCTAGTTCACAAGGTTTTGTGAAGATTAAGAATTTTACAGGAATTTTTGGTTCCTTCTTTGGAATTCATTAACCATTGCCAATGCAATGATTTCCATTTAGGGCCTGTGTAGGTCCAGGGAAGAGGATTCTACCCTCTGGTCTATGACCTAAGCTAAGCAACGTATACCCCCTAGCTACAGTTAGTTTTACAGATGGATTGAACCAGGGCAATTTTCTTGGAACTCTTGCTGAATAGGCCAGGACAAGGAAACTCTTTCCACTTAGACCAGAAACAGAAAACACATAGGTTTGGGTACTTTTTACAAACATCTTTGGACCACAAGGGAGCTAAGGTGTAATTCTCAAGCCTTACTTGATGCCAACCCTCTAGAAGGTCCAGTTATTAAGCCTAACAAATTCCCTTTGTTTAAGCCAGTTTCAGGAAGGTTTCTTTTTATCTCTTTTATAACTAATATGTTAAAAAATTGGGGATATGAATAAAAGTAATTTTGTTTCCTATAGTCCTCTACATATTAATTAGCAGCTGGAAAATTTCCCTATGCCACTATGTGAAAATTCCACTCAATTAATGGAAAATCCTGTAGCTATTTTAACTTATGAAACGTAGTCTCATTTCAGAAATGTATGGAGTCTCAAAAGTTGAAGATATTGAGGCTAAGATTGTAGCTCAGTGGCAGAGTGCTTGCCTAGTATGTGTGAGGCCCTGGGTTCAATCCTTAGCACCATATAAAATAAATAAATGAAACAAAATAGTCATTTTTAAAAAGTTTAAGATATTAAGCAATTCTTCTATCTTCATTGAATTGGCAGCCACCTGCCTTGTCCATTCACTTGGTCCTTACCCCAGACATTGTCTCATGTGGACCACAGGAGACTGGAGGAGAAAGGTTCTTACTCAGCTGATTTTTAGTAGAACAGTATTTTTGCTTCCCATTCTCTGGGTCAAACATATGTTGAAGCTGATTCTTTGTTTTGTGGACCACTTGTGGTCTCCTCAGAAACATCCACTGAATCTCTCTGTCCACAGCTTCCATGACCCAGGAAAGGCACATTTTCTTTAGTTCACACTTCTCCATCCTACTACATCCTTGGCCATCTCTACTACACTGAGTTTGCTACTGGAATTCCTTCTTCCTGTTGTAGGAAACTATTGACTCTATCAGACCTACTATTCCATGTTCTAAGATCACCATGGCATGCAAATGTTTTAAGAACATAAACTCCTATTTGGGAATATTCATTTGGAATCAACTTGTAATTTAAAAAAAAAAATATTGTGAAAATAGTCAAACATGAGCAAATCAAATTAGACTAAAATTAATGAGAAAATAAACAAAAATAAAAAACAACGGGGGAAGGGAGAGAAATAGTAACTAAAACTAAAAATAATAGCCTAAACTACCTAAATATTCATGAAATATGGCAAATCTGCTCCCATGGTTCACTCAAGTTAGCCATACATGAAAACCTAGTAGCTTCGTATATTCAACTTTAACCAATTGTAGTTTCAATTAGCTTTGGACAAAATTCCCCCCACCACCCACTACCACTTAAGGCCTAGGCGTTGCTGTGTGACCTTAGGGTCTCTGCCTTATGCTCTTCCTGACTTTATTATGTTCCTATTGGATCCAGGCTTTTATTTCTTCTGATGTTTCCCTAAAGAAAAGTCTTCCTCTAAGCTGCTACTTATACTGGTTATGGAAGTCCTAGTTACTCCCCCAAACTTCAGCTGCTATTCACACAAACTCTCAGCCAGCTTTTGTGGTCATTCTAGCTCACATTTCCCTAGCCCAACAGCTACAAGTTTCAACTACCAATGCCAATATTTTCTTGATTCTACTTGGGTGTCAGATTGTCCCTAAAATGTAGTTGTAATTCCTCCTTAGAGTCCATGTCTTCCTTTTGCACACCAAGCATGTGGTATCCCATTTCACATGAACTTTGATCATGTTGCTTAACGGATTTTGGGCTTAGAATCCAGAATGTAAAACTTTCTTGGATGCAGACATAAAAATTTCTTTTTTTTTTCTTTTGGCTTTTGCTCTTGCGATATAGAAGCAGAAATAAGCCCAGTATGGTCAATATTATTAATGATTTATTAGTTTGTATGAATTAATAACTAATCTCAGGAAAATTCACTCAACTCTTGATTTTAGTTAATTTGAAGTTAGGATAGAATGTTAAGTGTATCCTTAGATTTTCCATGGATGATTTCTTTCTGATTAGTAATCAGTTTAATTTCTCCAGGCAGGCAACTAGGGAGAAAAGGAGACTTGAACACTTGGTTTCCCAGGAACTTTACATTCTTTGGAATATTCCTGCTGAAGATTTCATTATTGCCCTGTAACTGCAGACCATGTGGTCATTCTATTCAGTGGCTCCCATCTCACCAGGAATAGCCTTCTTAAAGAAATATCCAAGAAATCCATGGGTGTTCTAAAACCATCTTTCCCCTCTGTCCTGCTACCCATGCATCAGCTTCGACTATGCCTTGGCAGATTTCACAAAGGGCTGCGCACCAGGAGAGGGAAGGTAATGATGTGTGTTTGTCTTACCATGCACTCACATTTCCAACTTGTCTACAATTCCAATAAATGAGAGGAGTTGTTAAACCACAACAAAAGCTATATAAAAAGAAATATAAAATGAATAAAAAACACTGTCATTAAGTGTAACCTAAACAGTCTGTGTGTGGTTTCTCAGAATGACAAGTAAACAATAAACACTAAGTGTTGTCAAGTAGCTTCAACAAAAAGTGTTCCCATGCATGTGTAAATAGGGAGATGTGCAGTAGCAAGCTCTGAATCACAGGAGCTCTGTAGGCAATCACATGGATAGTGAGTTGAAGGCCTTCCACCTGCCAGGGTGGCTTTTTTCCTCTTTTAGTCAAGGTGACAGGAATTCTTCCTTCTTAATTAAATATCCAGTTGCCTTTTCTTTTCTTTTTTTTCTTTTTCCTCTTCTTTTTTTAGTTCTTTGATTGCTTACTTAAAGCATTTGAGAGAATTGTCTTAAGAAGCAGTTCCCTTTTCTATTATTTTAATAACAGATTTTTTTAATCCAAAAAATGCAATGCTGGCATTCATAGTACTTATTCAGAATAAAAACATAACTCCTTTTCCATTGTGTCATGGAGTCATGCAAAAACAAGTACCTGGGTTATTTACTTATTTCTTTTTTTTTTCTTTAATCAGAAGCCTCAAAATGTAATGTCTATGGAGTCTAGGCAATTTACATAAATAAATGGATTCAGTTGGCTGTAAGACAAATAAATCATAGAGAGGTGGAGACTTAGGAATAATGGAGAGTACATCTTTCCAAAGGATACAGATATTTAAAAAATTTTTAAATCTGTTGCTGCCAGAATAAAACATATCTCTCGGCTGAATTCACAGATCATTTTTTTTTAATTTTGATGTAGTTATATCAAAATTAATCAGAAGAGCTTAAGTAAGCCAATATTTTACCAGTTAGAGTTGGTTGAAAGTACATGTCAGGTGTGTACTAAAGGAAATACAAACCTTCCTTCTCTCCTCTCCCTCAAAATAAAGCAAACACTAATCACCCATAAAATCACTAACTGCTTTGTTAACAAAAAATATATTTGAACAATTTCCAATTGCATTCTTCATTTATGTGTGACCTTTACAATAACTCCTATCATATGTTGCTTCTATGCAGTAGTCATTTTGATTCATAAAAGAGACCTTTTACAAAAGAAAGAAAAATAACAGTTATGTACATACATTGAGAATCTTGAGCATCTTTTAGTTGGTAAGAAACTTTCTCAACTTCATGCTGTAATGAACGTAATTTTCATTTGATCCACTGGGAATCAGGCATGCAATAACATCTTTTTCAAAACTAAGTAGGCTGCATTGACTTTAACTGTTGACACTGATCTTAGCACCAAGCACCTAGCAAATATAATCTCCCATGCCTGGACCTAAAGATGTGTGTTTCCAAATGAAGAAACAGAGAATAAATGAGCTAGTTTGCTGTAATAGGTCACAAACTATTCATACATATTATCTATTTTTATTATTGTAATGATTTGGTTATTGAATGATTCTCTGAAGATGGTTATAATTATCCTATATTGGCAAGGATACTACCTCAGGGAGGTCAAACAACTTGTGTCAGAAAAGGCTCTAAAACTCAACCTCAGTCATGTAGGTTTTTTATTTTCCTTGAACTTTATCAATTTTGTTAGTTTAAAGGGAAAATAATTGTGATTGTGGTATTTCTTCAATGTTGGTACTCCCATGTTCTCCCAATTTTATTTATAAATAATAAAAAAAGAATTGTGGTCCCTGTCACTGCAGCAAACCCAGACTCATATAAAGACTCACAAATATGGTCATCTCTTTATGCTCCATTATTAAATTTAAACATAACATAACTAGTGAATCAAGAGACATACTATAGCTAATTTCCTTATGTTCTTTTGGCAGATTTTAGTCAGCAGCTAAGGGAGAAAACATAATAATCATTAATGAGAAATAAAGATGGAGGCTGGTGTCAGCTGAAGTTAGCATAGGCAGGTCTGTGTGGACTGGCAGAAAAGAACACCAGCTGATTGGCAAAGAAGCTGCCCAACCCTATTTTTCAGGGGTTCAGGTGTATAGTATTGAGAGTAACTATGTGTTTTAGTCAGCTTTTTCATTGCTGTGACTAAAAGACCTGACAAGAACAACACACAGGCGGAAACGTTTATTTGGGGACTCACAGTTTTGGAGGTCTCAGTCCATAAGAGGGCCAACTCCATTCCTCAGAGCTCCAGGTAAGGCAAGACATCATGGTGGAAGAGTGATGGCAGAGGAAAGTAGCCGGGAGCATGGCACCAGAAAGCAGAGAGAGAGAGAGAGAGAGAGAGAGAGAGAGAGAGAAATAGTTCTGCTCAACAAGGACAACATATAAAGTCCAAAGGCATGCCCCCAGGAACCCACTTACTCCAGCCTTACCCTATCTGCCTGCAGTCACCACCCTGTTAATCCATACCATAGGGACAGTTACATTCTTATATCCCAATCTTAGGAATTTTGAGTAATTCACATTGTCACACTGATAATACCAATAATAATACTACATTGTGTAGCAATTTACTATGTGCCATGCATTGTTCTAAAAGTTTTATATTCTGAGTGCTTATAAAATCATTTTTTATTATTACTATCATGTTAGAGAGGAGGCACAGAAAGTTTTAGAAACATACTGAAGGCCGCATGCCTAGGATGTGGCAAGAGCCAGGACCTAGAGCAAGTGTTAGATACTCAAACTTCCTAAGATTTCGATTTTTCATTTAATAATTAGAGTGAAAATACTTTCTTTATAGGTGAGTTTGTAAATTCTGAAATAATCTATATAAATCCAATACACCCAGTAAATGATATACTCCCTACACAAATCCCAAACTTTGACTTTCTCATTTCCAGTAGTCTTCACCTCTACCTTACTTCATCAACTTTCTTCCACACCCATCCTCTGGACCTTGTAAACACCTGCAAGAGATGGGTCTCTAAAGTCTTAAATTCAAAACATTCCACTCTCTAACTGCAGCATTCTATGCCCTATCATTGATGTTTGGTAAAATGCTGATCTTGGACCTAGTTGTCAGCTTCCTGTCCTCTCATCTAGGTAGCCAACTGCTTGTGAAGATGGCTACAGAATGGAAAGGACTAGTGCCACCAAAAAGATAAAATTTCCAACTAATTTGGACCTTACTAGTGCTTGGACATCTTTTTATTCTCCTAGTTGCATAAATTTATCTTATGTATTTCAGTGGTTATTGAAATCAGCTACACTTTTCCTAAAATTTATTTGCTCATAGAAAAGATAGTAGGAGTTTTCAAACAAAAACTCTGTAAGTATCAGCACTGATAAGCAGACAGGTACTCAAGTCACTTTCCAGGGAAAGTAATATGGCCATTTTGTTCTCTACTTACCAATTTCTTCCCCAGAGCTTTGAAATTGGACTTTAGACTCATTCTAACTCTCAGATGTGAATTCTATCCCTGCTTTTCATGTAGGAAATGCTGTCTCTCATATTAGAATCTCTTTATATGAGAACACTTACCTCGTTTTCCCTCTCTTCTCAATGACCTTTCTTAATTTTTGTCTCTTGTCATTACTATTGGGTAATATTAAAAATATTCTCAGGACTCCTTGATAGTAAGAAGAAGAAAAAATAACAACCTTCTATTGCAAATTTAAAATGATCACAAATTCTGTCCCTGCATCAATAACCAAGTCCCAATAATTCTACTTCATTAGTAGTTATCTGTTTTAATCTAGTCTGTCCCAAACTCTTTATAACTATATCTCATTATCACCTCTACCTGAATTACTGCCTCTAATATGGTCTTCCTGATTTCAGGTTTACCTGTAAACCAACTTCCTCATTATGATAAAGAGAATCTACAAAACCCACAATGAATGTTATACTTAAAGGTGAAAGTCTAAATGCACTCCCTCAAGATAAAAAAAAAAAACTTCAAGGACATAATTCTCAACATTTTTATTTAAAATTTTAATAGAGGTTCTACCCATAGCAATTAAGCAAGAAAAGGAATAAAAATTTTCCAACTCAGAAAGAAAAAATACAACTATTCTATACACAGATGACATGGTCTTCTACACAGAAGATCTTAAGGAACACACACACATATACACTCACAATTAGAATTTAAAAACAAGTTCAGACTGAATGTCAGATTCAAGATCAGAGTGCAAACATATATTTCAATGCACTCACAATGAATATTTTGAAAATAAAATTAAGAATACAATTCTATTTACAATAACCTCAAGAAAAGATATATAAGTATAAACTTAACAAATTAAATGAAAAACATATACACTGAATGAAGGCTGCAAAACATCATTAAAAGTAATTAAAGATTTTTAATAATTGGTCCCATGAATCAAAAACTTCATAATACTAAGATGTCAATATTTCCAAAAATTGATCAATAGATTCAATGTGATACTTGATGAAATGAAGCTTGCTTTTTTGCAGAAGGTTAAAAACTAATATTAAAATTCATACAGAATTAAAGGTCCCAGAATATCCAAAAAATAACTTGAGAAAGAAGGACATAGTTGGAAAACTCACACTTACTGATTTCAAACCTTACTACAAAGTTACATTAATCAAGACACTGAGGTAATGATGTTAGGTTAAACATATCAATCAATGGAATAGAACTGAGAATCCAGAAACAAACTACTACATTTTATAGTCAAGTACTATCTAACAGAGATGCCAAGAAAATTCAATGATAAAAAAAGTCTTTTATTAATAAATGGTAATGGAACCAGTAGATGATATGATCCTCCAGCAAAAGAATAAAGACAAAATCCTCCCTTTTACAACACAAAAATGAAATCAAAATGGATCAAAAAGCTGAATGCAATGCCTAGTGTTGTGGCACATACCTGTAATCCCAGTGACTCAGATAGCTCCAGTAGGAGGATCTCAAGTTTGAGGCCAGCCTGAGCAACTTAGCAGGACTCTGCCGCAGTCTGGCTGG